TTATATTGATCTCGTCAGCCCTAAAAGATAATAATGAAGGTTAGATGAAATGTATGTTGGTGCGCGGCAAGTGTGGTCGGGTGCTAGTCATAGCCCTTCAGTTTGGGTCGTGACATGGTGGTGGAGGAAGAATTGGTGCTAAAGGTTGTGGTGGCAGTGGCGGTGGCGGCACTGCCAAAGGGAGCAGCGGTGGCAGCGGTGGTTGCGGGATGATGAAGGCTCCAGGTGGAGGAGGAGCTTACATATCCAGGCCTGGCTTCGAGAGTAACCCCAAGGGTTACTTCTCTGGTCTCCACACCGGAGAAAAGGGCGGCAAATGAGTATATATATATATATATATATATATGAATTATATATGTATCTATATATTTCAACCTATGATTTATTTTTGGCTGTCTACTCCTTCGGGTTTCGACGGTCTAGTAGGAGTAAATTTTATAGGTCAATATATAGTAGAGTTGTATTTTTATACTATTGAATATATAAAAGCACAAAAATTTAGTATAACATTTTGTATCTATCGATTAACTTGTTATTGCTTAGTCCATGATTGGCGAGATGTATTATATTTTAGTTTTGAGGTTTGTGTGAATTGCTAGATGAGACTATATATTAATTAATTGATCTGACATTTTTATAATAATCATCATTTATAACAATAGTTTACTATAATATAATTAAAAAAAACTGAACCAATTATTTTTCATGTTATCTTATGATATATATTTTATATAACGACACTTTACTGTAGCGGTTAAAAATTATCGAAATAGATAAAATTGTTATATAGAGGTTTGATTATTAATCAATTAGTGCCTTTGAAACTTTATTTTCGCTTTAAAGTGGCCAAGCTCCAGTAAATTTTCCTTTGGAGCAGTTTTCTTTTGTTGGAATTTATACCTTACTTTGTAATAATAATATTAATATTAGGATGGGTAGTTACTATTGGAAAAGTTCTATGAGCCTTGTATTAAAGAAGAAATTCAAGACGTCAAAATGCATCATCTCTCTTTAATTTAGGCAAAAAAATCAAAAAGGTAGCAAACAGATCGGAAAGGAAAGACTGCACATGAGAGAAAGCTGAAGGGTAACAAACTATAAATAAATGACAAGAAAGAGGAACCTAATATAAATGACATAGATAATAATAAACTTATTATTTTTTTATTTTTTAAATTTATGTGACGTAATTTGAATGGGTATAGAGTTAAAAAAAATTAAATTTTTTTGAACTTGTGGTATTAAATAAATTATAATATTTGAGTGGTTATACGATATTTTAAACTTGTGATTTTAAATATGCATAATATTTTTTAGCCTATAAAAGTGTTTCATTAAGAGCAAAATGAATAAAATAGAAAGTTTAAAGATGAATTATATTTAAACATAAAAATATGTAATATTTTTTTGGAACAGACTAATAAGGAAAGTACATATATAAATTGAATGGAGAGAGTAATAAACTAAATAAATGTATTAGTCACACAAGAATCCATTATTATTTCTGAATGGAAAATCATTTGCAAGCAAATTTTTTCATTATTCGTACAAATTATGAAAGACATGGAAAGTAGATAATACGACAGAAGCACTAAAATCACAGGGAATTACTTATCTAGTGATAATTAATCTAGACATTCATGCACATATATGTACCATCTGCAATGGTCAAATGACAAGTACAACAAACCCAACAATCACTGCAGTCATTGTTGGTAGTACAACTTCTCCAACAAGTCGCAAGTTGTGGAAGTAATCTGCTCTTGAGTCCTGACAGATCATGATCAATATCCAGTGCAGCTATAGCTTGTGTCTTTGAGAACCACGATATATTAACTGAAATATTTCACAATCACAATTATTAAAATCAAATTATAATTGATGTAACATAAAAGATACATAGCTAAATGTCATGCATATTCATGTCTACATTTAAAATATGCCTATTTATACATACACACAGAAAGTTGTATAATATAATGATAAAGAAAAATAAATACTCACTAGTGGTTGCCATGAGAAGAATGGTGATAATAGAACAAAGTTTAAGCAACGACATATTATGAATTATAATTCACACTTTTATGAAAGTTTTTGTATGAGCATCTCATTACTTTTCATTGATCGTTATTTATAGACCTTTTCTACCAATGAGCTGGCTCTCTAGCATACATGTGCTATGGTTGTTTCTTTTCATATTTAGTTTTTTTTTTTGCTTTATTATTTCTTCAACTTGCTTTAATATTAAAGAATTGTCTGTGGTAACCTCCCTCCTAATTAATACCTTCTACTATAATATAATAAAGTCTCTTCACTCTCACGTCTTTAGGAAAAGATTAATTATATATATATATATATATATATGTAATGAAATATTTTGATCAAGAAGTATTATAACTATGAGTCGTACATTTTTATTGTAGCCATTAAAAAATAGTCAACATAATTTCAGATCAGTTCTTTTCGTGAGATACATGGGAGACTTGTTAATGAACTCAATCAATAATATTTGTAATAAATATGGCTTGCTAAAATATTCTATTAACTACGCATAGTTCACTTTTCTAAAGCAAATTGTACGTAATCTTTTAAATTGTAAACATGGTCATAAGTCATGTTAAGATTTAAATTGTACGTATTCTATTTAAGTACGCATTGTTCGACCTGTGCGACCCGGACAATTCGGATGGCTCTGACCAAGCAATGGCAAAGGGGAAATAAAAAAATAGCTAGATTTATAATTGATTGTTTAAAAATAGCCCAATTTTAAAAGTAATCAAAATTTAGCCACTTTTCATGTAAAGATAATTCGAGCGAAAACACTATTCAAAACCCGAAAAATGCGCCAGTATATTATGTTGGAGTTCCAACATAAGTATACTTGAACTCCAACATATTATACTGGAGTTCCAGGATAAGTATGTTGGAACTCCAACATATTATAATGGAATTCCAGGATAAGTATGCTGGAACTCCAGCATAATATAATGGAGTTCCAACATAAGTATACTTGAACTCCAACATATTATACTGGAGTTCCAGGATAAGTATGTTGGAACTCCAACATATTATAATGGAATTCCAGGATAAGTATGCTGGAACTCCAGCATAATATAATGGAGTTCCAACATAAGTACATTAGAACTCCAACATAATATACTGGAGTTCCAGCAAGTATATTTGTCCAGCAAAATATACTGGAGTTTGGAGCACCGGTGCTCCAGTCTCTAGTATATTATACTGGAGCCAGCAAATTATACCGATCCAGCATAATATGCTGGAGTTTATACAAAGGTGCACCGAACTCCAATACATTATGTTGGACCGGTCACTATTGCAGCAAAATAATGGTTATTTTTCATTGACTTGGTAAACGCTGGCTATTTTTAAATGACCAGTCCGAAAACTGGTTATACCGTGCTATTTTTACGAGTTCTAATGTGCAATAAAGCCCTTGGGCCTAGGCGCAAATCTCGTAGAAATGATACCAGGTAGCCACTCTAAAGGAATTCTATTTAGGAATTAGCCAACATATCATGATTTTTAATTTTTTTAGTTTAATTTTTCAAGATACAAATGTTCTGAATTATCCTAAAATCAAGATTTTTAGGACAAAATAAGTATTGACTAATCCTTACCCTAAGAATAGTTATTTGTGTACTTCCCCCTACAAATCTCCAAGCATACCTAGTAAAAAAGGGAGAAATTCAATTTACAAGTGGTCATTCAAAAATAGCCACAATTTTAAAAGTAATCAAAATTTAATCATTTTTCATGTAAAGATAAATCTGAATGAAAACACTATTCAAAATTCGAAAAATACTCCAGCATAATATACTGGAGTTCCAGCATAAGTATACTGGAGTTCCAGCATAAGTATACCGAAACTCCAGTATATTATAATGGAGTTCCAGCATAAGTATACTCGAACTCCGGCATATTATAATGGAGTTTCAACATAAGTATACTGGAACTCCAGCATAATATACTGGAGTTCCAGTATAATATACCGGTCCAGTATAATATGTTGGAAGTTCATGCACAAGTTCTTCAATCTCCAGTATATTACACTGGAACTTTCCGCGTGTTAGAGTTCCAGCATAATATGCTGGAAGTTCATACACATGTGCACCGATCTCCAGTATATTATGTTGGACCAGTCCCTGTTGCAACAAAATAGTGGCTATTTTTTAATGACTTTGCAAACACTGGCTATTTTTGAATGACCAGTCCGAAAACTGGCTAGCCCGTGCTATTTTAACAGCAAAAAATGAGCTTTGGTGGTGGAGATGAGTTGGTACGCTACTCCCTCCCTCCAATTTTATATCTTCTAATTTGATTCAGTACGAAATTTAAGAAAGAAAAAAGTTATTTCAAAATTTGCAATTTAAAACAATGCCATAAGCAATTTTGCGGTCCTAAATTATTCTATTGAGGATAAATTAAATTTTTTAATGATAGATTATTTTTAAATATATAAAGATATCATTCTTTTTGGAATAGACTAAAAAGAAAGTGTGATACCTAAGTTAGAACTTTAAATTTACTCATGTATTATTTGAATTTTCTTAATTTTTCCTTTTGTTAGACTTTTAATTCATTCATACCATTACGGCAAGCAAATTAAATCATTCCTATCTGCCATCAACTTTTGACAAAAATTTAAAATTAATTTTAGTATTGAATTCTGTACGTTATGGATAAAGGATAAAAACAATTTTGTTCTTAACGGCGGGCTAAGATTAGATCAAAATAAAAGTTAAACAATTTCATATATANTGCTAAAACGTTCACAAGAAATTATATAGATTCACATAACTAGTCGATAGGGCAATAGCGTTGACCCGATTGTGAAGTCTCTAACTATTCCTTATATTCACATAATTAGTCACCAATGTCTCTTTCGTTAATTAGTAATTCCTTCTATGTACTATTCCGTTTATAACCAGCTTTAAGCATGTATACGGTCGAAATCAGATACATCCGGGCTCGAGGGGTCGCTTTAAAACCGACTTCATGTAAGGTCGAGTTCGAGCTCGACGGACCAGACTCGAGCTCGAAGACGGAATGTAATGCTCGAGGATCGAAGTACGTGAGGAACATCGGAGTCAAGCACGACCGGCTCCGAGACAGTGCCGTTGTTAGTTTGTTACAGAAGGACATGATTTCCGCCACGTCCCCAAGATCATGGCATAAATTCCGGAATAGATTTGTACGAATCGGTACATATCCGTATTAGGCGGTTATACAACTGTCCCAATAAGATTCTTTACAGTAAATAAAAATGTACCTTGATTAGTGTTTCCTCTATTATATAAAGGGGACCTCAATTATTTGTAAAAATCATCTAATCATTGGCAAAGAATATACTATCCTACTTTCTCGCTCATTGTTCATCAGATTTGTCCATTATCTTTATTGTTCTTGGTTCATCTCAAGGTCACTAAGCTCGAGGTCGATACTGCTTAAGTAACACTGATTTGATTCACTTATTTCTTTCATTTATACTTTATACTTCTTGATTATTAATTGGTATTGAACTGAATCACATATCTTTAAAACCACAAATCAAATCTAATAGTTACTCGTATTTTCGAGGTAAACAGTTTGGCGCCCACCGTGGGGCTAAAGATAATAGTGATTATTTCATTACTCATTCTCATAACACACGTTATTTTTTCACTTTTTCTTGTCAAGAATTTTTGATTCTTAGGATTAAACATGTCAAACTCGCAAACGCACCTATTCATGACGACGAAGGTCTTGGATTTCATGGAGAAAACAACAATATAGGTCGGTGTACCACCAATAAACCCTGGAGAAGTGCCAAATATGGTCCCAATTGATGTTAGTTCACACATTGCTTTAAACGCGAATTTAGGCACAGACCTCGCGGGGAGTGTACGCAGGAAAGCCCGATCTGGCGGCCAAGAAACACAAGGAATAAGAGATGGGGAAGTCAGCCTCCAAGTGATATTCGAGATGCTGAAAGTTCAACAGATCGCCATTGCTCAACTTCAAAGTCAGAATAAGACTCCGAGTATAGCTGGACCAGAAAACACTCGTCGTGCTGAACCAGTGCTAGAGAGGTCAAATGGAAATGACTCGGGGACTAACCCTACCATTATAAGGATGCTCGAAGATCTCACCAAGAGGATCGAGTCCGGCGAAAAGAAGATCAAAGAAAATGACAAAAAGGTGGAGACTTATAACTCCCGTGTTGATCAAATATCGGGGACACCCTCGGTCTTGAAGGGTTTAGATGCCAAAAAGTTCATACAAAAATCATTCCCTCAAAGCGCGGCTCCGATGCCCATTTCTAAAAAGTTTTGCATGCCCGATATACCCAAATATAATGGGACAACCGACCCCAACAAGCATATTACTTCATACACTTGCGGGATCAAAAGAAATGACTTGAATGTCGATGAGATCGAATCAGCATTATTGAAAATGTTTGGGAAAACATTGTCGAAAGGAGCCATGATTTGGTACCACAACTTGCCCCCGAACTCTATCGATTCATTTTTTATGTTAGTAGATGCCTTCGTGAAAGCGCATGCCATGGCCATAAAGGTGGCAACGACGAAATCGGATGTTTTCAAGATAAAACAAAGGACCGGCGAGATATTAAGGGAGTTAATGTCGAGGTTTTAGATGGAAAGAATGGAACTACCATCGGTCTCCGATGACTGGGCAGTACAACCTTTATGCAGGGTTTGAACGAACGAAGTTCGATTGCATCTCGACAATTAAAGCAGAACATGATCGAGTATCAAATTTTGACATGGTCAGATGTACATAATTGTTATCAATCAAAGATCAGGGTCGAGGACGACCAGTTAGGAGCTCCCTCGGGCTCAATTCATTCTAATAGGTTGGCAGCAAAACCCCCGAGGGATACAGACATGGAATCAAGATCAAACAGGGAACTGTATCAGCCATACTTCAATTGGAGAAACAACTGTTTGGGTCGTAACGCTCCTTGGAACGATCAGAGAAATGATCGAGGACAAAGTTCTCGGGAACTCATGAGTAAGAATGGGTTCGATAAGCATACTGACCCAACAGAGGCACCTTGATTATCGGAGTATAATTTCAGCAT